AATTTACATCCATAATAATAAATTTTACTTTATAATTTCTAAAATTAGAGTGAAATTATTTCTTCTAAAATTTAAAGGCAAGAATATTATCAAGGGCATCTCGGAGGATTTTAATGGTTTTATTATATTTAATTAAGTTATGTATAAAATGAATAAAAAATTGTTATAAATTACTTAAGAATAATATCAATGAAATCCTCCAAGATGTCCAAGATAATATTCTTGACTTTAAATGTTATAAGAGGTAAATTAATTCTAACTTTGGAAACTACAGAGTAAAATGTATTATTGAGAAAGTAAAATTTGCTATGTTGAAAGTTTGTAAKATGGAAAAAATAAATGCCCATGTGGCATCCTCTTAACATTTCTATTTTGAATTTGTTAAAAGTAATTTTAACAGAAAAAACAAACAGTGGTTTTGAAATTAATAATAGTGTTAAAAAACCAACTTTATAACTATTACAAAGAATAATAAAAAACAATTTAAGTTTTATTCTTTTAACGTAAACGTATCTTTCAAATAAGTTGACCATAGGACTTCATTTTTTTATAGCATATTTAAATTATTGAATATTTAGTTGCGTTTTAGTAAAGTACAATAAGGCTAAAAGCAATTAATGATTAATTAAAGCATAAATATAAAGAATAATTAAAATAGTCAATAATAACCTTCATCGGAGGGCCAAGTAGGCTGCATAATTGTCAGAATACTTTGTTGTAATTGTTTTAAACACGGTTTGACACTCTTTACTTGTCCAGCCATTAAATAATGACATACCTTTAAAATAATAATAATAAATTAGGTAAAAATTCTTACAAAATAGAGTTAATTTAATTGAAATCATTACTTGTAAAACTAAAAAGAAAACTTTTAGATATTCTTTCTGATACTGGCTGGCTTGCCAATTATCAACTAAATACCCAGCTTGGGTTAACAACGGAGAAACTTCTGTGATTTTTTTGTCGATAAGCAGTAGCTGAGTATACAACAAGAAAACAAAGTGATTAAAAAAAAATCAGTTTTCAAGTGTTGCAAAAAAATAAATAATACATACCATACACCTACTAAGCAGAAAAAGTACTCGGGTATAAGCTGCTGATGATATGTGAGCGTAATCAACGCCAACACCAAGTAAGCTGCTGGCCAATTCATAATCTTTTTCTACAGCATGTATTTGCTAAACAAAAATTAGAACAAAAAACAAAAATTAACAGAAAATATATTTCAGTTGAACGCATTCGTGGTGAATGCTGTCAAAGTGTTTACTCACGGCTAATTGAAATATAAGTCTACAGTGCCAGTAGATATTGTGTTGCGACAGTTCGACAGCTTTCCTCAAAATGGGTTTAGCCAGATTCGATTGATTCTGTTGTTGGTACAGTTCAGCCACGACACTAGCTGCCTCGAATTTGACGTCGTCGAATGCGTTGATTGACTGGGACAGCAACCACTACGGACAGGTAAAAATCGAGTAAAGTATGTCGTAGGTCTAAGGGGTGGGGGGTCGATGGCCGATCGGCAGTGGAATTACCGCTTGTTCGAGATGAGTCCGAGCCAGGTCTGTATTTTTCGTGTACTGTAAAAGTATGTTGCCCAGCTGCAAATGGGTCCGGGCCTCGACCCTCGGTGGAGGTTTGAAACTGAAAACGGCTTGTAGGCACTGGATACACATCTTGATGCGATTCGACGTCCGGAAGTTTTCTGCCAGCCCCAGCAGTGACAGGTACCAAGCGTCTTGCGATGACGCCATCGGACGGCGGCGAAGTATCCCTCGGATACGTTTGGGGAAAGTATAAGACAACAGCAGAGATATTTCCTTTTTTAACAGTTACATATTAGATTTATCAACAATTGTTATAATCACGAAAAATTGTCAACAAACACACACACTTAAAACACTAGCAAGAACAACACTCTTTGGAACTTGACCGCAGTTACTTACTTACCAGATACCAATTAAATGGTAACATACTATAACCGGCTTATCATGCGGAAAAAATGATAAAGACGAGAGAAATGATAAGGATCAAAAATCGAAAAGTATAGACTGCCAGCCGTGTACCTACCGATTACCGACTATATTATATTCACTAATTTACTATTCACTTATAGTTGCTATTTTGCTAATGAACTATCGTAATATTACTGATGATCGGTAAAATTAATACCACGAAAATGAAGTAGAAATTAAAAAACTAACGAAAAAGAAGTGCGCAAGTAGGACAGCGCTGGTAACCGTTTTATTGATTGGGGTAAATTGTACTATCAATGATCGTAAAAGATCGATCTATCTTAAAAAAACATATTTAATAGATTTATTTGTAAAGGTTGTAGGTAATGATTGGTTTTGAATACGGTTGTATACTTTTTAAACAGCTGATCGACGATGGTTAACAATATATTTTACATATTATTTAGTCGATGAGGTGATTCTGCGCCTGTAGTGACTGGAAGAGTGAAAGATAACATGATAATATCACTCTAACACATTTTTGCCGTACAAATAACTTTGTCATAGAACGGAAAAGTAGACATATCATTGGAAATATATAGTAGAGTAGAATTACACAACAAAAGTTGTTAAGATATATATGATKTCGTTCAGGCAGTTAAAATACGAAAATTGCAATGTTCCTTAAAAAATTAAAGATATTTCTTTAAAGAATATAGGTATACAAACATGCATTTAAAGCGGTAAACATGTAACAATCAGCAATAATGTGTTAGTGGCAGTGGGATAGTGGGTAAATGGTAAAATATTAAAAACTTTTAAAACCTAACAAAAAAATATTTCCATTCCAAAATTTCAAAAACAAAAATTGTCGACAGCATCGCTATCTATCCGCTGCAGCCATTTTGCTGACACTTGTAGAAAAGTTCAAAACGATGTTTAGAGATGGCACTCAATTTTATTGTCTAAAACTCCAAACAACACTACAACAGAGTATCTTCATTATTGAACCACGACAAAGTTATTTAGAAATTTCAATTTCGATAATAAATTCTGATTATTAGGTATCTATAATGTATTACTTAAGAGCAGTTTTGTAGGTTGTTCTATAAATTTCTTAATTTAAATATTTAGAATTATAAGAAGAAGATAATATGAATTAAAATGAACTTATAAATAGTATGTTTTTCCACTTAAGTATTAAAACGAAGAAATTCACCGACCATCACATAGACAGAGTAGCAGTCCCTAAAATATCCAAATTTTCGTACTACACACATAGACACATAGTCCCAAATCAGTCAAATCTAAATTATACATAGTACCTATCAATTAATGATAATATGTATTTACAATAAATAATTTTATTTAAATAAAGTAGTACCTTAAAATTCAAATAAACAAATTTAAAGGTTCTTTAAAAAAAATATTTGTGAAATAGAATTTTTGTTGAAAAAACATTTTTTTTTGTATATAAACCATTTTAAGTGTACAAAATGCATGAAAATAATAATACATAATATCAGTAAATAAATAAAAATAAATTTAAATTACCTATATTAAGTATATAAATTATAGTTTTTGTTTTTATTCTTTGTGGCCGAAGAACTTTTTGATATCCTGAATTAATAGGTATTGTTGTATTAAAATTGTATAGAACATTATTATAAAGGTTATTATTATAACACACTTTTAAATTTTGTACTACACACTGCATTTTTCGTACTACACACAAGTTTAGGGACTGCAGAGTAGTGCAATGCTTTTAATATCAAGCCAAGTAATATGGCGTATGTTCATACATTTTACTACAACCAGTACAACCGACTTATTTCCGTTTACCTTTTTGCCAGTGAGGTAATGAATATATGTATTGTTAACTGTTTAAATATTTTTGATTGAAATTTTTATAATTTTATTTGGTAGTTTTTGGTGTTCTATTTAATTTTCCTGTGATTGCACCTATCGGAGCAATAAGTTTATCCTCAATATATTATATAAACGATGTTTCAAGATGATACAGTTAAGTTAGTATTGCACTGATTTTTGTGTAAGTATAAATTTGTAGTTTAAGGAAGTATTTTACTTAATTAAAAAACTAATCATATTCTTTTAGAGTTTTAAATACGAAATATTTTTATGATTTTTCTACTGCAAAATGTAAAAGACTGTCATCAGACCTTTTTCTATAATTATTATAGTTTGGCTCAGAAGTTGTAGAAGTTGCATATTGTTCTAAATGCACTTAATTTTTTGGAGAAAAAGTTATAATCCGAGCAAACAATGGTGAGTTATTATCACTTATCACAATCATCTTTTTAAATAATAAATATAATAATAAAAAAATAAAAAATTTTAGATTTTCTACAAAAAGTTGATTTCATATTTTACCTTTTTTAGTTCTTATAACTTTCGAGTCTTAATTATTAGGTGTACGATAAAAATGTTTTTTTTCTCGGCCTATGTTATAACGACAATGGTTGTACCTATATCCTAATATTGTTTTCAAAAATCTGATCTATAATATTTGCTACGAGCTTATCCGTAAAATGTTGTGTACCAATCCTAAGATTTACCAAGATTTGACCTTGGTAAATTCTATAGGTTTTACCGGTTTATATAAGTATGCTGGCTTTCCATAATTACTTACTAATTATTATTTATCTATTATACATTTATTTTATATGTTGGGTTTGGGCTACTTCCGGGTCGATAATCGGTACTTTCACAGGCATGATTGCAATAATATGTATTACTACTTAACAATATATTGATTTTGTCATGTACGTATCATGTTTAAATATAATACATAATAATATGTTTTGTAAGTTGGCGTATAATCTACTCGTACATTCTTTGTTTATCTATTTGATTGTTTTTGTCGCGATAATACTTTATATTCGCGATCGAGTTTCGGGTTACGTTCTCTGTCCTAGGTTAGATGTATACCTATATATATTATATATATTAGATCCTCTCGTGGCACGTATATTATATAGTGCATTATATACTGTACATGACTGTAGACGTGTTGTCAATGAGTGGACATTGATCGTTGTTTGAAATTGTCGGGCTTTATAATATTACGTATAATACAATATTGATGCGGTAGGTAAGCGCAAGCTCACCCATCTAGCCCACATGTGAATGTTGATTGATATTAATCGTTAACAACAATATTCTTCGTAATATACGCGCGTGGCAATAGTGCTCCACGATGCCGACGACCGACGCCAGAAGGACGTACGCCGTGCCCAGCCTGTTCAAGTCGGCGTACCGAGCGTGCAACCAGATCCAGCGGCACGCGTACCGCACGGACTACTCGACGCTTCCGCGCGTCGACATGCAGCGCTGTTGCGATTCACTGTTCGAAATCTTGAAGCTGAACACGGAATGCGGCGGGTTCGACCCGGACGGCGACAGGCGGTCCATGTTCCGCAAGGTACGGCGCGGCGTTGATGGCTACAAGTTCGGCGGCATATGCGAGACGGCCGCGCGTCACGGGCATATCGATTGTCTGAGGTTGGCCCACGAGATCGGCTGCCCTTGGGACGTATCCACGCCCTCGGTCGCGGCCCTCGGCGGGCACCTGGAGTGCCTGATGTACATGCACGAGAACATGTGCATGTGGGACGAACGCACGTGCAACAAGGCGGCGGGCGCTGGCCACTTGCACTGTCTCAGGTATGCGCGGGAAAACGGATGTCCGTGGCACGAACTTACGTGTGCCGATGCTGCTGCGGGTGGACACCTGGACTGTTTGAAGTATGCACACGAAAATGGATGTCCATGGGACGAACATACATGCTTTTTGGCCGCCATGTTGGACAAACTGAAGTGTCTCATGTACGCCCATCAAAACGGATGTCCCTGGGACAGAGATTATACTGATCGTTTATTTATTAGTCGGCGGTGTCTTGAATACGCGTTGAACATCGAATGTCCGAGCTTTTGGTGGACAAACAACGCTGATTATAGTTTATTTAATTAGGTATACTATATAATATTATTATTTTCATATTTATACGTTACAATCGCTATTGTCATGCCTATTGTTTCTTGATATATTTAACAATATTGTTATTATTATAATTGTCAAGTTATTGTGAAAAAATACGCTAGTGCTTTAAAGCTGCAGTTCTTGCATTCCGATGCATATAAGTTCCATTAAATTACTTTTTTACATTTTTACAATTAATCATTGTCAGTTGTCACTGTCACACTTGTTATAGAAAATGCAAAAATGGGCTCACTTAGATGATATTTTTTTTTATCATACATACGCGCGTATCTATTCATTTATCATCATATTTCGCTAGTAACTTATTGTGTTGCTCTAACATTAATTTAGTTCTTAAATATTTTATAGGTGAAGGTATATACATATATGTGTATAATATTTATATATACTTACCTAATTAGTACAACTAAGTGTAAACTAGTCTTAATGTTATTGTGTATCGTGTATGCGTATGAACTTATGAAAATGACAACGTCAATAATTATTTAGGTTGTTTTGAGCATATTGTTGATAATTATAATTTAAGATCAAACAATTTTATTTCCATAAGTGTACCGAAAGTTTATCTTCGATGCCAGTAGAATCGTTGGAAAATTATATGGGCATATTGTTGAGGCTAATTACAATATATTTTTTTTCAAATATCAATGTTATAAGTAAAATGTATTAGACACTGAACGGAATCATGAATGTATTAATTTTACAATCATTATGTGTACTTTTTAAATTGTTAATTGTGTCTAAAAACACTTTTTATACTTAGTAGGAGTAAATGTTTTGAGTCTTAACATTTAAGGTGGTTTCCAGTTTGAGCTTTTGGGGGTCAAATGTTTTATGTACTTTTCTGTTCTTATTTTATATTCTACTGTAGTATACTGTACGTCTATATCAGTATCTATAACAGATTTTAAAATATATAGGTAGGCACCTAATAAACTTTATAACTTTACAAATGTGTACTATAACTATATCAACTTTTAATTACATGTATGCAAAATTAATGTCAATTTTAGAACGAGTACCAACAAGTCACAAAATGTGATTTTATATTTTTAAATTCATTTTTGTTTTTTTTAAACAGACCGAAAAAAAAATTATCAACTATTTATAAAAAGTGCAACTTTTATGCGGTTACGTAGAAATATGTGAGTTGTAGTCATTAATATGCAAAAAAAACTGTAGAAACTACCCATCACAAAACATCAACATTTTGAATCAAAATAATTTTATGTGAAAAGTAGAAGAATATGAATTCGCATAAAAATCCGATCCTTTTAGTAATAAATTATTATACTAATAATCATTTAAAACAAACTACAAACACATCGATCCCGGATGTCTAGTACGAGATTAGAAATTGCTTTAATGTTGCCCCTTAGATAATAGCTGTAGCGAGGCTCCTTGAACGAGTTAGTTAAAAATTATGAATTTATGGCTCCAAAAAGTCTATTTCGGATGTCATCAGCAAATACAATTCAATTATATTACAATAACTTAGAACTCACCAGACTCGTTCTGGCTTAGGTTCGAGACTTCCTGTTTGCATGATTGCGCAAGAGTACCTACGGTGATAAACTGTTACCTACGTAAACATGCGACTTCACACGACCATGTTTCTCCAAACATATTTTTATCTTATATTTAAGCAAATTTACAATTGTACAGTTAAACAACGAACATGATGTTGTATTGTTTTTGTTAATGGGTAAGTATTGTAATTAGGTAGGTAAAAGTAATACATTTGTATTATTTTCATTATCATTTAATTATACTAATTCAAGGCTACAATACTATATTTTAATATATAATAATATTGTGGTTTTATTTTATTATAGTTCTACCAAAATAAGTTGAAGAAAAAATATCTATTTAGAGCGCTTTCGGCTTATATTTTATAATTTTAGCGTATTTGTCATGTGATCACAATATTGATGAAAAAATTGAAAAATTCTAGTTGAAGAATGGAAAAAATAAAAATTAATATAGGTATGTGTACTACTAAAATTAGTATAAGTGTAGGTATTGCCGGGTGAAGTATTGTCTGCCTGTTATTACATTATGATTTACTGAAATAATGGTGTTGATTAACTTTTTATTTATTAAATTTAGAACAATGATAAATGTAGAATAATACTATAGTAAAAATATATACACAGTGAATTCTTAAAATGTTGAATTTCAATATCTCGAATTTTCGTCATTTCGAACAAAATTGAAATTCCCTCGAAACTACTGCTATTACACTAATATAATACTTTTACAGAAAAAATCATTGATAAGTATTTTTAATTTTGCGATATCTAAAACCTTTTACAGTACGACTATTTTCCTTGAGATTCAATTTATCGTAATTTTGCTGTGCATTATGAAAAAACTGGTTTTATTATTAATTAGTGGATTTTATTCAATTTCTAATAAACTTGAGGAAGAATATTGTATGTAGTATTACCCTTAAATCAATGCAAGTATTGATTAATATTATACAAAAACAAAAATTTAGTACTTAATTATATTGTTATTGTTAATCATGCAAGTAAATAGTAATTACTAATTATAATAATATATCCCCACCGTATATTGGTTACATATAATATGAAGTAGGTAACGCGTTATTTTATTGCTAATTATAAACGTAATTAGCTTTGAGCCCATAAACAAGTAGGAATATTTCTGCAGAACATGCTATGCTCTACAATCTCCTCCACAACTATACATATAGGTTTAGTGTTGCAAACACATCTAAACACAAGTTCTCATAACTTGGGCGCTTGTAAATTGGGCCCACATTAAGTAGGTAGTAAAAATACTTTATAGTAAATTGCGCCCGGGATTTTTCGGGGTCTAAAACGGGTATAGTAAATTGCGCCCATGATATCTACCATCTTGAATTCATCGTTACCTATTATGTGTATTTTAAAAATATTGTTGTTCATTTATTGGTGGATAAGTCGAACGTTAGGTTAGGTTAGGGCTGAATATGTGAAGATGATGTCTCATTAGTAATGAGTCATTACTATATGCAGATAACTTATAACTGTATTTTTTATTATTAACATTTTTAACCTAACAAAAAATATTTGAACAACTATAATTAATACCATAATATTAAAAAAAATCAATTAATTTTTCTATTTTTATTAATTCCTATTTTTTTTTGAAATTTTTTTTTATTTTTTTTTCATTTCAAGTAAGCCAAAAAAAACATTTTTGGAGGACAGTGATAGTCGCCTCCTCGTGGTGTCCTCTGGGATAATGCTAAATGACTATCATAAAAATAATACTTCTATTGGGCGCAAATACAGAAATTTGTACCTGAAAAATACCGGGCACAATTTACTACACAAAAATTTATACCTGAAAAATACCGGGCGCAATTTACAACTATTTCCTTTCGTTGAGCGCAATTTACGATTGCCCCATAACTTTTGCATATCATTAAGCCCGCTACCTATTGTATTATGTTAATAAACAAATACATTTATTATTGAATATTATTAATGACTAAAATAATAATTATTATACAGTCAATACTTTATTTAGAATTTAATATATTTACGTAGAATAATAATTAATAGTATATTAATACGAAGTTATATAATATTCTTTCTTATTTAGATTGTAGGTAAATGCAGGGCTCCATGGGGTGGCGGGCTGTTGGCTATGGAGTACAGGGACCAGGCTATTTTAAGATCTTATTTTGTGCTATAAATATAAATATATTTATATAATTTATAATTTAATAAGTAAAAATCATACATGGGACACTCGTGACACCTATTGTAAAGGGTTGTATTTAATGGAAAGTTTTGTTTCGGAGCTGCTCAAACATTTAGTGCATTGGCCCAAAATTTGATATGGGAGGATGGCTGGGTTAATGGGTAGACATGTACACTAGGTATTCAAAAATATTTATTCTATATATATAGTCATATTAATAGTAAATTTATTATTACGCAAAATAACCCAACCGTAACAAAGTAAAACGAAAACATCACGTGCCGAGTACTTTTAAGCAGGTTCAGTCAACAATTTTATCACATAAAATAATTACAATTTATAATTAGGCATTTTACTAATAACAAAAAAAAAGAAACTTCAATTGTTATTTCATGATATATTTAACTAATTAAAACCGTTTAATATGTTAATATAATATGACGAAAAACAAAACTATAAATTCTTACTCAGTATACGGTGACATCTCCCGCAAGAGATAAAAATACTAAATATTGCAGGTGGTGTAAAGAATTACATTACGTTACATTACCCTACGTTCTCACTTAAAAACATTTCCTAATTATTATTAATTTTTATATTTTGAAATCATAGGTGTCAAGTTCAATATCTATGGCTCAGAGAAACTTAAAAGCAAAATCGAAAAAATATGTGTGCAAACTACAAAGAAACAAGTTTTTATCTGACGACCTTCATTCGTAAATTCCGAATATAGAATAATTAGCCAAAGTAATCATATTATTAAACACAACTGTAGTGAGATTAATATGTTGACTGAGTCTCAGTATTAATTCATAAGCCGTCAAACTATGTTAAAGAAGTCTTTCCTGATATGATACTGAAAGTTGTGTTCTTGTTTTAAAATGTGTACATTTTTTATGAATACAATATTAAGTAGCAACTAATAGTGCTGCGAAACATTTTTTAAGAAAGTTAAAATTAGGAAGTGCGGCATTTTAAAAATGATTTCACAATCGATTTACCTACGAATTGTATTGTATTTATTTATAGTTTATGGGTCTAAAACAACAAACACTGCTGGATTTCCACCATTGTTCGAATCAGGGCTGATGTACTTGGCTGAAACTTTAGAATGGGAATCACACGAAACTATTGACCGGGTTAAGGTTCTCTCAGAATATGATTTCATCGTCGTCGGTGCCGGAAGTGCAGGATCGGTAGTGGCGAGCCGATTGTCCGAAGTGAGTTCGATGTGTAATTTTGACTTTTAGAGTTTTAATTTCCTAATCAATTTAACTTCTGCTATGCTCTCTATTCTTATGTTTGTTGCAATCAGGTCGATAAGTGGAAAGTTCTGTTGATTGAAGCCGGACAACAAGCCTCACATTTCATGGACATACCTTTGACTGCTCCGTTTTTGCAATTTTCCTCGACCAATTGGAAATACAAAACAGTGCCGATGAAAAACTCGTGCTTAGGTAATATTTTGAAGTCAATTAATAGAGCAAATTTTTATATTTGCAATAAATGTTTAATGTTTATACCTACAATTTATAGGTTTTGAAGGCAATCAGTGCAAATTTCCTAGGGGCAAAGTCATGGGTGGCAGCAGCATACTGAATTATATGATATATACACGTGGTAACAGTAAAGATTACGACAAATGGGCAGATATGGGTAACACAGGTAAATTTACAAATTTTATTTTATTTGTACAGTAGTTGTCGACTAGTCGTTCATTGAACTCTATTTTTGGGACCGGAATATTTGTGTTCATTAATTGAATTAGCCAATAATACGAAAAGCTCAAAAATAAAAATATATACAAAGCATTATGCATGATTTTAATGAATATTTTAATGTATAAATAAATATTCATTATAATGCATTTATTTATATATTTCAAATGTGTTTTATCAATCATAAACAAAAATAACAGTTATATCTACTATAATGATTTTAAAAAAAAGAAAATATTTTCAATAATTTTAATAATTTTCAATGAGATGAGTCAAACGAATAGGATTAATCGTCATAGATATGTAGGACGAAATCAGGAAAATGTAATAACAAATGAGAAATTATGCACTTAAAAATTGTATATAGTATTACAGTAAATTAATCGAAATCGAGTTTAAAACCTCAAAAAATAATACGTTTTAAGGTTGGGACTATAACAGCGTTCTTAAGTATTTCATAAAATCTGAAAACGCCAACTTGTCTCACGCCGATCCGGGTTATCACGGAAGAAATGGATTATTGTCAGTGTCCGACGTCCCGCACAGGACGCCAATAGCGAAGGCTTTTGTGGAAGCTGGATTGCAAATAGGACTTCCTGTTGTAGACGTTAACGGGGAAAAACAAGTCGGGATAAATTATTTGCAGGTAATTAGAAATAAAGTCTATAATCATAGTAACAACTAACAAATTATAATAGCTATTAAACCTACTTTGTCTCAAATGAATATGTGTGTGTATTATTATTTTCCTTGTATTTTTCTTTAAGAAAACTTAATTTTAATTTAAAGTCTATTCAAGTTTATTAAAATTAACTACTATAATATTTATAAAAAAAAAAATACTAGGAACAAATTGGATTTATTTGTAACTTATACTGAGTGTATAATTATCAAAAATTGAAACACGCACTGCATAATATAGATACGCACAAAATTACTAAACTATACAGTGTTTATACTAATAAAAAATATTATAACTTAAAAAATGAAGTAAACTCTGAATAATTATACTAAATTGTTAGTTTCAATAAATGGTTATTAAAGAGTATAAGGTGTACAAAACTCGAAATACAACTAATTTTGCTTATTAATATACCCGTAAGTTCGTATATTTTTAAATGTTTCATTAAATTGCACAATATACTAAATTTAAATTCAATATTATAGAATAACTTATAGTTTTAGATTATATCAAGAAACAATATAAAAATAATTACAGGAAAAACGATTAACGATGCGTCACTTTTATTTTTTATTGACGCACCATATCTTTTATAGTTTTATTATATTTAAGTACACAATATAATAAATATAATAATATATCTATATATATAATTTAAAATTTTTATGTACTTTACTAAGTTTATGTAAAAAAATAATTGTGTATCTTCTGCAGAGATAAATCCCAATTACAACTCACCGGAAAAAAAAATTAAAAAAATAGCTGAAACTTTATGTGCCCAACTAATTAAAATATCAGGCAAAACAAATCTCGGCATCTTAGCCACTATATAGCCAGTAACAATCTAATATTAACTTACACCAAACTATACAGTCATACAGTTATATATAACTACATATAGATGCACATGCATTTATTAATTGGTTTCCAAATTAAAATCAAAAAAAAATCAATAATATAATATTATAATCCTTCATTGATCTGCAGTAGCACCTAAATTCAATAATATACAAATGTATATAATTAACACAATTTTATTGTTTTTCATTACAAATTTAATGTAAATATCAATATTTTTTCTTGAACTTCAGACAACCATGAAAAACGGTCGCCGCTGGAGCACAAATACGGCGTTCCTGTTTCCTGCGAAAAAAAGACTTAACCTGCACGTGAAGAAGCTCAGCATGGTAACGCGGATACTGATAGACAGACAAAAGAAAAAGGCAATCGGAGTGGAATTTGTTTCAAAAGGGAAAAAAACCAAAGTATACGCCAGAAAGGAAGTGATCGTTTCCGGCGGTGCCATAAACACACCACAGCTGCTCATGCTGTCCGGAATCGGGCCCAAGAAACACTTGGCGGACCTCCGGATTCCGTTGGTGATGGACTTGCCGGTCGGCGAGAACCTCATGGACCACGTGTCRCTCGGCGGTYTGGTGGTGACGGTGAACGAYACCGTATCRATAAGGMTGCACAAGATAWTCGACGACCCAAAYRTTCTRAACGACTTGCTGCAAAACCACAATGGCCTCTACACAGTGCCGGGTGGACCTGAAGCGCTATCCTTCGTGGACGTGGACAGTCCAAGTTTGGCGGACGGACATCCGAATCTCGAGCTGCTTCTGGTGTCTGGAATGTACTCGTCCCACGAGCTGGTGCCCAAGCTGTGCGGCATGAAGGCCGATCTGTACGACGCAGTGTATCGGGACACCGAGGGCATGGACGGGTTCACGGTGTTCCCGATGGTGATGCGTCCCAAGAGCCGTGGACGCGTGTGGCTGAGAGACGACGACCCGTTCCACCACCCGCTGATCGACCCAAACTATTTCGCCGACGAGACCGACCTGGACGTGCTCGTAGCCGGAGTCCGGATTGTCCAGCGGATGCTGCGCACGGGACCGATGAGGTCACTCGACGCCACGGTCTTGGAAACGACGCTTCCGGGGTGCGCGCAACACGTATTCGACACTGACGCGTACTGGAAGTGTTCCGCCCGGCAGATGTCGTTCACGATCTATCACCTGTCCGGCACGTGCAAAATGGGTCCGGCCACCGATCGGACGGCCGTCGTCGACCCGAGATTGCGCGTGCACGGCGTCAGCGGCCTGAGAGTGGTGGACGCGTCGATCATGCCTGAAGTGCCGGCGGCTCACACCAACGCCCCGACGATCATGATCGCGGAAAAAGCGTCCGACATGATCAAAGAGGACTGGGACAAACGGACGTTTTAGTTTATGGGCGACAATACGTCATGACATGATACATGCACGCAGGTCCGATGATTGCCTATATATATTATGTTATATTTTTATTCTTATTTTATAGAAATAATTTTTTTATGTGTAAAAGAATCATATGAAATTCAACTAGGTCCTGAAATGTTTTGCGCGATAACCATTACTCATTTGACATTTATATACTGAACGTCTTTCACTACTTCATCACTTCTCATGTTATGTGGTTTATCATATAATATCCCCTTGATCCGTTGTACCTATACATAGTATTATTGTTTTATATATTTTTTATACATAATGTGATATGCACTGCGCTGTAGTATTGTTTACATCCTGTGCATAAATTATATACTATATACACATTGTATATACAGAGTGATCCATTTAACATAGACATGTTTCTTTTGCACTACTTTTTTGAATAAAAATTATAGTTGAAGTGGGCTGACATTTGTTTGGGTACCCCTGTGTACTATAGGTACTCCACTTCGCCGATATATGAATAACTTTAAATACTTATAATTTATAAATCATATAGTGGCTACTAGCGTTCAAAATTCGATTTAGATACATTTTTATTCACGCTTTGTCGCGTTAAATGGATCACCCGATGTAATTGACCAATGATAAATTTACACACTCGACACTTTTCGGTATTGGCACCCGAAGTGTTATATATACACAGGTATTATCAAAATGACGGCATGATGGCAGTATTTTCGACATTCACCAACAACACAAGTGAACTCGCATAGAAAAATTTATTAACAACATAATTCCTGAAAAATACGGTAAATTACTCACTACTATAAACTAACTATGGGTTCGAAGCGCTTGAGTCAATTTGGCGAAAGTCCCAAGATTTAAAAATAAACATATATTATGTAAGTACATAATTAGTAATAAATAAAGATGTTTTATTAAATATAATTATAAATAAAATAAAATAAATGGGGGTATTTACTACTATTTAGTATGTAGGTATTTATAAATATTTATTATTTATTTATTTATTTATTAGGTTTGTATTTTATAATAATTACTAAATTGTAGATAATATGCATTTTACTATCGGAGTAAAATCAATAAAAAAATTTAAAAAATTACCTTATCGTGTACATAATTTACATTTTGATTGAAGCCATCAACCGATGTGACTATTTAGTTTAACAGACAAATTATTTTTGAAGTATAAAATATGTGGAGTGATAATTGGAATCATCCCGTCATATAGTTTAAAGTATATCAGTATAATATAGTTTTTTAAATATTCATTTTTTTATTATTTTATAGTTATTTTACGTATGTTTATTTGACTATTCATATAGGTATAATAGTTTATAAAAATTAACTCTAAACAGTGAATTGAATAGACTTGAACGTTTCTGTTTATTGAAAGTATTAACTAACTCGGAATCTGAAACAAAAGTAAGAGTATACTACACATTATTGTATAATAATTAACAATATTTCAAACTAAATTTAATACATGATGTTATGTGATGTAAGTGATATATTAGTTTTTTTAATAATCCATATTTCTCGTTATGTTATTGCTATTTGTGTTTATAATTGTTAAAATAATGATTTTTGCTATTTTTTTTTTTTTTATTGACATACCTAATGTTGTAATGTCCTATAAAATGGCATGCCCGGGCACAATTTCGGGGTGTAATACCATTTTAATACCTAATACAATTGAATTATTTATAAATTACCTAATGAAACAAACATTATTTTTTCAAAGTTAATTCCCTTTACATTCATTACCATATTAATATGACATCATGATGATACGGGTTAACAATTTTTGTTTAGTTCTTAAAATTTTATAACACGTATATTTACCGATCTTATATGTAGTATGTAATTAGTAAACCTTAAGTAGTAATTAATTACTATAATTTTTTTAATTTATAGGTAAAATTTAACGCTCTTTTAATATTTTTTGCTCTGTTAAGTTGTAAACGTTTAATATTTTTCTTACATAACACAAAAAAAAACAATAACTAATAAAAATGTTAATAAATATAAATATTTTGAGAACATTTTATTTATCAGAACAATGGTTGTACCTATACCTACTTAAAATTTTTTTTATATTTTAGCAGTATTCTCTAGTAAATTATTCGGTTTAAAAGGGAAATTTTGGTTTGAAGGGTTTGAAATATATTAGAATTTAATATGATTTTAGCTCTCTAATACTAATGATCAATAATGTAATGCCAATATAGACATTTAAAACACAATAAATAATCAATATTCAATATTCAAAATTAATTTTCTGTTCCAATAGCCCTAAAACGGGTACCTTATCTTATTATATTATTTTACGCTAATTATTTATCATGTTTGAATTATCTTCATATTGCGCACATATATCTAAATTTAAGCACATAATAATATTATACAACAGCACTTATATATCAGAATTTTGTTTTTTTATACGCCTAAATGTTAAATGTCAAATCGCAATTTTGTCGGCGATCGAAAATAATTAAAATAACTAATCAAGTTTAAGCTGTTATAGACACGATATAAAATTGGGCGTGCTAATACAAAATAATGTTATATTCGCAAGATTCGAAAGGTCATTGAACCATCTCGTTGSCTATATTAAATTATGTAGTTTTATATACTATAACATTTTTAGTGTACCTACTCGTGTAATAACAGATCCACTATATTTATACATGCTATTGCTCGTCACCTTTAAAGATATTTTCGTACCGATTCGTTGATGATAACCATTTCGCTAATTATTAAAATCTAACCTGAAAATGTATAGACCGTTAGTGATGACTGTTGACTGATGACAGATACTGAAAAATGTAACAAACCGTCTGCGCACATGATGAAAAATATATATCAAGCAATGCTACTGTACTTATGTTTTCAATACTATTACAGTATATTATTATATATAGTCGCTCTAAATATTAGTCTTTAAAAATAAGTACACTAATTCGAACGGCCTTCATAGAATTTTTTTAAATAGTAAATCGCAAGATTTAAATTAATGATAATATCAATTGATAAATCGGACGATTTTATCCGACAATAGTATCGGAACTGGAAAACCAACTAAGGAGAAACGAGTTTTTTTTCGCAAAACGACCTTCACCTCCTCGCATACCGTTGGTAATGAGTGAGTTTATGATAGGTCAATATCGGTTTATTCGTGAATCCAAGCAAAACTTGCTTTACGACCAGGTGATAATATGTCCGACAGTCCAATGACTCCTGCAACAGTAAAATATACGACAACATAATAATATAAGGATCGTCGCGCGCGGTTGCTGCAAACAGTCTTTCGTGAATTTAGTTTACATTTGCCGGCAGGTCACGGTTAAAATCCGACGCCATCCATCGTCATCATACACACCACGTCGTCGGCGTAGCCAACAAATCCGAAATCGTAAATATTCGAGAAAATAATATTATCAAATTATGGTTTCCGCTTCGCTACATTTTCAGACGCGAACAGTAGTTGCCCTATTATTGCTGTTGCAGTGCCCGTTCGTGGTCATTGGCGTATCGCCGCCGCAGTATTATCCGCCGCTATTCCAATCGGCACTGAAATTTTTGGAAGAAACACTGGTATGGGAATCCAACGAAACTGTCGACCGGGCGAAGGTGCTTTCGGAATACGATTTTATCGTGGTCGGGGCTGGGAGCGCCGGATCAGTAGTGGCGAGCAGACTGTCCGAAGTGAGTGCCTTTATGGCTAGTGCACCTATATAAACGTTACGTTTAAAATCGTATATATGTTAGTGTGATAATTTATGAAATTCCGTAAATCAATCAAACAGGTAACTAGTGTTTTTTTCGTATACTTACTAGTACTCATAAGGCTTTCATGTTTTTTTTTTCATATACTTTGTAAAGTACAAATTTGATTTTCACATCTTGTTAATTTTTCATATATTTGAGCCTCGAGGAGCAAATTATGGTTTAACTATACACCTATAATAATCATTAATCATAAATATTTGCATTTGAAATCAATGCTATAATATATAATGTTAAAAATATATTGTATGATTGTATAATATTTTAATAGCTTATAGGTAGGTACCTATATCCAATTCATAATCTAGTCTTTATCTCTATCTCCAAAAAATACTTTACTTAGCTTTAAATAACAATTCTTAGTTATTATAATTTCAAAACAGATTATGATATAAAAATATCTCTCCCCACCACCATTTTAATCAATCTTGCAGAATTTACAACCTTACAGTCAACAAAATATTTGATAAAAAGTTAGAATTTATTATACAATATTAATTAAATAGCAATTAAACGCCACTTTGGTTTTGAAAATCAAATATATATTTGATAATGAACGTGATGGGTTGGAAGTGTCTTAAATACTTAAATGTAAAAAATGTTTAAAAAGTTTAAAATCGGTAGAATTTGAATCGACAATCGACGCAAGCCAAAACCAATAACTATCACGCCTAGGGCATGTTATACTGCAGTTTTGTATGACAAATAATATTGTTCAATGTTTGGTTATTAGGTGAAAAAATGGCAGGTTCTGTTGATCGAAGCCGGACAACACGCCACACACATCATGGACGTACCTTTGGCCGCTCCGTTTTTGCAATTTTCCTCGATCAATTGGAAATACAGAACAGTTCCGATGAAAAACTCATGCCTTGGTAAATATTATACAGTCCTATAACATTTTTTTTATACTCATAACAAACTTTAACGTTGCCCGATTTATACGTAGGTTTCGAAGGCAGTCGATGCAAATTTCCGAGAGGCAAAGTCATGGGTGGCAGTAGCGTACTGAATTACATGATATATACACGTGGTAATAGAAAAGATTACGACAATTGGGCAGACATGGGAAACACGGGTAAATTTACAAATTGCATTTAATTTATATAGTTTGTGGACTGAAATAATTTCGTTGAATTTGTGTTTAAAAACACAAAAAAGTATTCATTTTAATACGTCGTGTTTCGAGGTTGGGACTATGACAGCGTTTTGAAATATTTCATCAAATCGGAAAACGCCAACTTGTCTGACGCTGAGCCGGGTTATCACGGGAGAAACGGATTGCTGTCGGTGTCCGATGTCCCGTACAGGACGCCTATTGCGAAGGCTTTTGTGGAAGCTGGATCGCAAATAGGACTTCCGGTTGTAGACGTCAACGGGGAGAAACAAGTCGGGATTAATTATTTACAGGTACAGTTTAGAATCAACAGCTTTATGAACACAACATACGTTTTAACCAGTGTCGTAACTATGAATTCTGTTAAGCCATATGCAAGGATTTATTTTGAGGCCCATATTAATATTATTATTGTTATTTTTAAATATAATAAGGAAGTTAAAGTTCTTTATTAGTTATTATTTTTCATAACTATTCCAACAAATCAGTATCAAAAGATACTTACTCTACTAATGTAAAATTAAATCTAAAACAACTGAACAATATTTTTTTGGCAAATTTGATAGGTAGTTATACCTGTTTAAACATTGGAGTAACTCAATTTAATATTAGTTTAACGGTAGATAAGTGTTTGTAGGTAGTAGAAAATATTGCATTTATTGTATTAATTAATATGTAATTATTAAAATAGTCTAAATTTTAATCGTATTATACTATTTCTATTTATGTAAATATTTTTTAAGTCAATACCACCTTACTGTAGAACAGAGTTGATAGGTTCATGGTACAAATAAGTAATAGCTTAAAACTAAAAACTAATCTATATAATATAGTAAAATAATAATAATATAGTGTTTTTATTTTTTATTTTTTGATAATTTGAATGAAAATTTATTGAATTTTTTTGCATACCTATGAATGTCTTATGCATATTTTAACTTTTTTCGTATATAATTTTCATTTTCTAGATACTATAACTTCCGTGCTCTAATTTTCATATTATATTTCTTTTGTACTTAATTAATCAATAATGAAATAGTAAATCGGCTTTCCTGGAAAAAAATTAAATTGGTAATAGCATATTTTGAATTAAATAGGTACCGTACACTGTTGTAAATCATATTATACCAAAATATTATTCTAATAGTTAACGCATAATAAATCACGTAATTTAAAAAAAATTTAAAATTTAAAAGTTAGATGACCTGTTAAAAATGAACACTAAAGCGTTTAAGCTAAAAATCTATAATAAATCTGTTGATTATTTCCAATAAAATATTTTTCATAGAAAATTAGCTGCAAATACCTTAAGTTATATCTTAATATTGGTCCATGGGGTTGTAGCCGTTGTAGGTAACTTTGAATTTATAATATTTGTATTATACTCAATAAAAGAATATATAATTGTTAATACCTTCAAATATGATAACCATCTAATTTCAGTGTAGCGTTATATTACATGAAATCAATTACTCAATTTTTAATTTATAATTAGTAAATATTTTTNCTTACACCAAACTATACAGTCATACAGTTATATATAACTACATATAGATGCACATGCATTTATTAATTGGTTTCCAAATTAAAATCAAAAAAAAATCAATAATATAATATTATAATCCTTCATTGATCTGCAGTAGCACCTAAATTCAATAATATACAAATGTATATAATTAACACAATTTTATTGTTTTTCATTACAAATTTAATGTAAATATCAATATTTTTTCTTGAACTTCAGACAACCATGAAAAACGGTCGCCGCTGGAGCACAAATACGGCGTTCCTGTTTCCTGCGAAAAAAAGACTTAACCTGCACGTGAAGAAGCTCAGCATGGTAACGCGGATACTGATAGACAGACAAAAGAAAAAGGCAATCGGAGTGGAATTTGTTTCAAAAGGGAAAAAAACCAAAGTATACGCCAGAAAGGAAGTGATCGTTTCCGGCGGTGCCATAAACACACCACAGCTGCTCATGCTGTCCGGAATCGGGCCCAAGAAACACTTGGCGGACCTCCGGATTCCGTTGGTGATGGACTTGCCGGTCGGCGAGAACCTCATGGACCACGTGTCGCTCGGCGGTCTGGTGGTGACGGTGAACGATACCGTATCAATAAGGCTGCACAAGATATTCGACGACCCAAATATTCTGAACGACTTGCTGCAAAACCACAATGGCCTCTACACAGTGCCGGGTGGACCTGAAGCGCTATCCTTCGTGGACGTGGACAGTCCAAGTTTGGCGGACGGACATCCGAATCTCGAACTGCTTCTGGTGTCTGGAATGTACTCGTCCCACGAGSTGRTGCCCAAGCTGTGCGGMATGARGGCCGATCTGTACGACGCAGTGTATCGGGACACCGAGGGCATGGACGGGTTCACGGTGTTCCCGATGGTGATGCGTCCCAAGAGCCGTGGACGCGTGTGGCTGAGAGACGACGACCCGTTCCACCACCCGCTGATCGACCCAAACTATTTCGCCGACGAGACCGACCTGGACGTGCTCGTAGCCGGAGTCCGGATTGTCCAGCGGATGCTGCGCACGGGACCGATGAGGTCACTCGACGCCACGGTCTTGGAAACGCCGCTTCCGGGGTGCGCGCAACACGTATTCGACACTGACGCGTACTGGAAGTGTTCCGCCCGGCAGATGTCGTTCACGATCTATCACCTGTCCGGCACGTGCAAAATGGGACCGGCCACCGATCGGACTGCCGTCGTCGACCCGAGATTGCGCGTGCACGGCGTCAGCGGCCTGAGAGTGGTGGACGCGTCGATCATTCCTGAACTGCCGGCGGCTCACACCAACGCCCCGACGATCATGATCGCGGAAAAAGCGTCCGACATGATCAAGGAGGACTGGGACGAACGGACGTAGTGTATTATTTCGAGTGATAATAATATCATTGATCAGCAGCGTTTATAGAATATTATTGATTCATTATGTGATTGGCGCCAATTGAGTTTTTCATAACAGGCGCCGAAATTTAAAGCGCCCGATTTTTTTTCACCGTCAGGCCACTTTATATAGTTACAAATACTCTTGCATCATAACATCATGTATGGTGTCGAAATGTTATTTATTTAATATTTTGTTTTAATTGGTAAGCGCTGTTAGTTGGAAATAGCTTTCGCCATGCATACCAATAAAATACATTCTTTAATAATAAATATACATCAACTCCATACATATTGTGGTTTTCTTATTACCTATATTTTAACATTTTTTTTTTTTTTTTATATTTGCCATAGGCGCTGTTGGTAATATGATGGCTGCCAACTAAAGTGCATAAAAAATAATGGTGTCACACTGTACCCTCAAAAAGCTGATTTAATAGTAACAATCATATAAACAGGCGCCGCCGAAGCTGTTAAACTATTTATTTCACTATACATTCGTGCATTTAAATAGTTCATTTCATCGTGATTAATATTATTAGTGCCATAAAGTCATCACTCGTCGTCGTAAAGAGAATCATAATTTGACGACATTTAGTTCAGTGCGTTAAGCACTTAAAAGGCATAATATTATTTATTTAATTTGTATAACCATTATATACGCTTTATTGCAGCTGAAATTTTTACTTCTAGATTTTCTAGTAAATTTTGTGGTTTTGCAAATTTTACTCTTCGTTTTTGTAAAAAAAAACACTATTGATACAGATCAGATGTTTTATAGTTTATGTGAGTTCTACCAATCAGTTAATCTTTAATCTACAATATTTTATGAAAATATTTAACTAATGTCATCCGATATTTGTATTGTGGGGTGCTAAATGTTCTCTGTGATATTTAAGCTATAGGATATAGTTCATAAAAGATATACAGTATACGCAAGATGTAACTACATGGTAAAACTTTTGGGATTACATGTTTTTATGCCAATTAGTATGTTTTAATGATTTGAATTTTGAATGAATTGTTACTTAGACCCCGGGTCAGGAATCTTTTCCTAGGAAAGAGCTATTTAAAAAAAAAAATTGACTAAACCATTATATCTAGAGAAGAGCCGCGCGGGTTGTTCGGTTCAGAAATCAGATTACTTCATTGTTGAAGAGCCGCAGTTTCCCGACCCTATTGGTGGCTGGTTTGGACAATAGTTGTTGTTGCAGTAGGCTTACGCCTATTATCAATTCTACGTTTACTTATCACGAAAAAATGTAATTACCACACTTAGTATCGCTCGTATTAGTCGTAAATACTTTTATTATATAATTAGCTATAGTAGACGTACAAAGTAAAAGATGCAAMATAATTGCACACCTAACCTAACCTTTATTTAAAAAAAAAAAAAAGCAACACGATTGAACACTAAATAAATGTATGTACGAAAATAAAATAGTAGGACATTATATTAATAAATTATAGTTTTCATACTTCCAAGTATTAAGATATACTTACTTTAAATACATCATGCATAATTATTGTCTAGTATACGCAAAAAATCTAAGTTATCTGTATAGGAGTGTTTTCAATTAAACACGAAGAGGTGGGCACGAATTTTTTTAGCTCAAAATTCCTAATTCCAATTTTTGATTCAATTATTTTAATAAGTTATTATTGCTTTGAATCTTTCTGAACAAAGTTTTTTTTTTCAGATAAAAAAAGTAAAAAGAGCGCACCACAAAATAAACTATAACACCGTACAATTACACAAAATTAATAACCTCAATTTTCTTCTGGATTCAATTGAATGATACTATATATAGTGCTTGGCGCCATTGCAGTCTGCCCAAAATGTACACATATTAGATTCCCATTATCCATATATGGCCTGTGTGTTATATAATATTATTATTGTCGTAAATAAAACTTGTTTTTCGATACGAAAAAAATAAATATTAATTGGCTTGGTCGTCGCGCAGTTGCCCGGCGGAGTGCGCTCGAGTTAATTGGCTCCGAAAGGACCTCGCAAGCGATTTTTTTTTCTTTATATATAATTTATAATCATATCAATAGCTGGTCATTATACGGCTTTCTGGCGACGCAAATGCGATGTCCGAGTAAACGTAACGAAAAATACGACCAGTCATATAATGCTGTGGTCGCTGCGTTTCAATAAAATTGAAACAAAAAAGTTGAACTGTTGAGATGGCGCAGTTTAATCGTTTAGTAAAATCGATTTCGATTTCGAAATATGGATAGGAAATCTGAACATTACATTTAATCAGCCAGTATAGAACATATTGTGTGGTTTGAATTTCAGCAGAAAATATCTACAAAAATTATTGCTTTTATTTTGCGGTATTTTTTGTAAAACGCGTAATAGTGATAGTATATTTTCAATTTCACCAGTCCTATCAAAAAGGTTACCGCTTTAAACCTCTTTGACACTTTATACAAATGTCAAGTTTGTCGTTTAGCTTTAACATATTTTGAATTGAGTCTAACCAATAGAACTCGAGATGGTTTTTGATTATTTTGAAGTATTTTCAATAAGTTCTAAGCCAAATGACCATAGATTAACACAATTTTCAAATTATTTATTAAATAATTATATAAGTAATGACGCGTATTTCCCCCCAAATATATGGGCTACTGCTACAACAGATTTGAACAGAACGACTAATGCTTGTGAGTCATTTCATTCCCATTTTAATAAAAGTTATAATTCTTATCATCCTCATATTTTTATATTTTTAGAAAAACTTTTCAATTAGAAAATTCTATAAAAATAAATAGTATAAATGAACCACATAAATATAGAAATTCAAAATTAGTATGTACCTATATCCAAAAAACATTTCAAATATTTTTAAATACTTGCTGGGTAGAGAACACTTTTTATTCCTGTGGTAACTTTTTTTTCATGGTTTATGTGGGTTAAATAAACCTTTTTTTTCCTGTTTTGAACCGACGACGCCGCGGGGACTGCTATCGCATTATTACTTCCTCGACGCACTTAACCTAACTTGCATGGTGCTTTTTTATTTTTATATTGCAAAATGTAAACTAAGTCAGCTGTCTGTGTGATTTAAGCTCCATGTCCCGGGCATCCCCACTTTGAACTTTCGTAAAAAAACCYGGGGCGATCGTTTGTACTCTGTTTGTACCGGTTTGTACCGCAAAAATCATCGTTTGTACCAAAAGCTGTAAAAAGTTAYAAACGTTTTAAGTTGGGGGTGCTGGAGACATGCCAGCACCCCCACTTTGAGCTTTCGAAAAAAAACCCGGGGCGATCGTTTGTCTAATCATCCTAGAAATTAGCATAAAATAGTTAATTGCACTTTAAATTTTCAGTTTTTTGTACTTTCAAATAATTGTATTCAATAAAACGTACCTAGTCTCTAACTAATTTCAAATGTACACTTACTACACTTAAACATCGCTTAACAAATAGATAACTTGTAATATACTCAACCTATACGGCTATACACATATCATATATTATGATTCTCAAAAAGTATTCCACTGCTGAAATATACATAACAATGGTATAATGCCTTCACACGTGTGTATTATTACATCAACAACAACAACAAGAGGCCGCGCACGCGCCCTCCGCCGCCGCCGCCGTCTTCCCTGCGGCGCAGTGATTGATTTTCGTGCCGCCAACCGATGTTGTCGAGGCAGCGCTCACTTCGTGCCCAACTTTCACGCGGCGTGCACGGTGAATGCACCATGTCCTCCTCCGACGGCATGACGTGCACTTCGGACGGCGACGCCGCAGCTTGTCACCGGCGACGGTGCAGCGGCTTGACCGGTTGCGCGCTTCTCGCTTCCGAAGCGGCGGCCCACGTCGCCAGGCTGTGCCGTTCCAACCCGCGACTGCTGTCCATGCTTATCCAGGAGAAATGCGGCGACGACGCCAATAGCAGCCGGTTCGCGCATGACTTCAAGACGCTGGCCGACGTGCTGGTACAGCGATTGGTCGCGAAACGCATCGGCCGACAGGTATGAATGTATATGATAATATGCAATAATACGTGATGCACCAGATCGGTGATCAGTAGCGCTTAGCGTAGCATGCCACGTGGGGGGGGTGCGTGCTAAATGTGCAGTAGTTGTAGACCTATATGGTGTCGATGGCACGCGCTCACGGCATGTATTTATACACGTGCTGTTTTGAGCTCAGATCTGTGTTTTAAAGTATACATTTATAAGATAGCTGTAATCTGAAACTGCAGCGACGATATTATCATCATATCATTATGTAAGGACGCGCGCTTAAAAGAATTAATCGCATTGCAGTTATAACAGTTACGTAATTCAAAATAAAAATTTTATTTTATGGCCAGGTTTTATCATCACTATAATAGCCTGTAAACATGCGTAATCAGAGATATACAATAATAATATTATAACATAATATACTATAAAAATTAAATCTTATAATCTACGAAAAATAAATAATAACAACACACCTATATTATACAATTGTAATTTTTAAAATAATTAATTTATCATCAAATACTAAACGATTTGGCAGAAAATCATACGAAAGAAATTAATTTACGTTTAAAAAAAAATTATTGCCAAATAATTAATTTATCGTTTTGATTATAGGGCCCGATTTAAATTCCTATAAAACTATCAAAATGTTCAATAAAAAAATAACCCGAAAATACCTGTACAAAAACAATAATATAAAAAAATTAGCAAAATTATTTTCTAAAATAGGGAGCAACCGATGGGAAAACAACAGTTTAAATTTCTGAATTTTTAACACTAAACTAAACCAACAATAATACAAAAACTAAATAATATACTCAGGTACACACAATAATTATTAATATTATACAGTTTTACTGGTAACAAATGCGATCGCTATGCACATAATATTAACTTCGACTGATCAATTAGCTGTTATTTTTTTGTTTACAGTGTCCCGGTAACATACCACATCCGATAATCGTTGGAAATAGATAAATTGCTTTCATAGTATAGAACGATTGACAATCGGTAAAATATGATTGAAATCATCATAGAATATTGTATGTGACGTTGCTTCATTGACGTTTCCGAAATTTTTGAATTTATTATTTACATGCACTTTATCACACAAACATTATTGCTATGTTATATCTATTAAATTTACATAAGTCACGAGCCGCAAGCTATAATCCGACAATGTTATCGATTAATAAATTAGTTCCGGACCAATTAATATTAGTTTAGCAGTTTAGCTATACCTAATAGTTAATACTCACCGTTATAAACGTAATGTTTTAAACATAAAATACTTAAGAAACATTAAGAATTATCGTTAAAGTTTTGTAAGTTAAAGTTAAGTAAGTCCTGTTCTAAAATTATTATAGAAATACTTAAATGTATGTAGTAATTATTCCAGACCTATATTATAGTGCGTTAAAAAAAGTTATTTGCACTAAAAGTTCGTTGTTATAATATAATATTAATATTATTCACACTAAAAATTGATAAAATGACCTAAAAAGCAAAAACGTTTACAAAAATGCAAAGTTTCATTTTCGAAGTTTATCTATTGCATGAAACGAAATATATACTGTGAAGTCGGAATGCATTGTTCTAGAGCACCCAAAAAATAATAACTTTGCATTGAAATTCTAACCTAACCTATAATACGCTAAATAAGAATATATATAATAACAGCGTAAATTAATAAAACAAAAATTCGAAAGTCGTTTTGAATACATAATAATACAGATATATAATGCTTAGTAAAATAAAACAATATTCAAGTATGCACATCAATTTATTTCCGGTCTCTATATATTGAAATATAGGGCGTATATCGATTGCGCCGAAATGACCTTTTTACCTGTGAAAAATCTATTGATTCCGCCGKCTATCGACYCCGCCGAAGTTTTCTTTTTATTGATTCCGCCGGTTAATATTTGTAAATTATTTATTTTAATGAAAACAAAATATAAAAGGCTTAAATTAATATACAATTAATTTTCAATTCACT